CAAGTAGCGGAACATTTTGCAAAGATGGACAGTACCTGGTAGGGGTATTTTGCAAAGGTGACAGGTCCAACCAACGCCAGGGGCATTTTGTAAAACGTTTTTTGTGTCAGAGGGGTATTTCGATCTACCCACATCTTTTAGGGGCATTTTGGCATTATAGGGGTATTTTACAAATTTACCCAAATAATAAAGATCTTTTGTTTAGAAAAAGAAAAGAAGAAAATATTTGGTTTTTCTCATTAAGTACAAGCATCTGGATTTGAACTCGGCCCTGTACTTCAACAATAGTTCATGGGTGTACCCACTGAGCTACCAGGCTCTTGGCTTTGTTCTTTTTGTTTTACTTATCTGCTTCCAACAGATTTTGAACTCTGGTTGGCATATCAACAGTTCAGGGGCGAGGTCCCACTAGCAAAGAGGATTGGATTGAATACCTGCACCCGGACATGTTTGGGAGAAAGGTGTAGAAAATGGAGAATCTGATTGAATTGCTTTTCTGCACCTCTGCTTAAAACATGTCCAGATTCAGGATCTTAATCCAATCCTCTGTGCTATTGGGACGTTGCCACAGGGGGTCCCTTCCGTCCCGTGTCGTTCCACATTTTGGCAAGATTCTTTTTTTTTTTTTTTTACAAACCAATTTTGCATTCCATTACAAAAAGAAGGAGGCCGAGAATCCCTCCACAAACAACCCGGAAAGGTGAACTCTGGGACCATTACCTAGTTTATGGTGCAGGCGTTGGGAATTCTAGTCCAGAGGCAGAAATGGCCGAATCATGACCGCTGCCCTGTCATTTTCTAACCCTGGGAAGTAAATAAAATTGCCTACAAGGCCTCAAAAGCCACACAAACCAGAAGAACAAAGCCTAACAGCAAACCTAAATAACCTGCCCTCTCGGCCTTAAAAAACACACAAACCAATAAAGCCTATCTACTACTTCTAAATACCTAAAATCCAACACTTACCACCCTCAAGAAAAACTAATACCTACTAATAGAACTAAATTCCTATCTACATCCCCTAACAGCGGGGAAGAAAACATCGCTCCCTCCTCTGAACATGGCCAAGACTGCCTGTCTACTGCGACTCACCTGAAAAACCCAAAGCAACCGAGCGTACAGGTTACAGCCAAATGCCCCGAAAATGGAAACCAGAGAAAACAAACATCACTACCTATTCAAACCTGGAGCAGCCAATCGCAGAAAGTGAAGCGCTCACCTTCCATTTTCACCATGGTATTGCCAATTGTCCATGTTTCTTGAAACCATTGCAGACCAGAGGATGAGACCTTAGAAGGACTGACTTTTCTTCGCCAGTCGACTTGAATTGCTCTTCTGATCCACAAGCAAAAGGTACTGTGTATTTGCTTGTTTGTCCAGTCCTTGTCTTCAAAAACTGTTTCATTCCGATGTTGCCAGAGTATTGCAAAGTCAGTAGCTCGAAAGACCTATGCCACATAACCCCAACCTTTTCGTTTGGAGATATTGGCTGGGAGGCCTCCTAGAAGGGTCCATTCTTTGGACCAGATCATGAAAGAATTTGAGACTCGATTCCAGTGTTTAATGATCCATTTCCAGACCCTGTCCGAAGCCGGACAGTCCCACCAAAGGTGAATAAACGATTCAAACGCCCATTGACACGTAGGGCACTTGAGGTTGATACTCATTCCTCTCTCTGCAAGCCACACTGCAGAGGGGATCGAGACCATAGAGACAAGTCATAGTAGGGAGGCATGCCTTTGGTTTGGAATTAGTGCAAGTTGTTCCCAACAAGAGGTAAGAGCCGCGTCCAGATTTAGTTAACTTATTTGCAGAAGTTGAGCCTATCTAACCCGAGCAACCACAATGGGTTGTTTCGTTGGTTGGTTCGCAGAGTAACCGATCTGTATCGTATAATCTGCTAGGTTCGCGTTGGAGCCTCTCGGCCCGGTTATCATCCACTCCCACGTGGCGGGATCCAACTTGAGCTGATTGACTGGTAGTCCCTGGTTAAGGAGTTGACAAAAAACAATCCCGTCCTTCTCTGGACATTCCTGTACCCTTATTTGGTGTAGCAACTTGCCCACAGGTGGTGGAGGATTTTCTTCTTCGTCAAATATCAAATTGGATTGCACTACCGACCAACATTGGAAAATCCTCCCACCGTTCTCGTCAATTGAAGCCAGTTTCCACACTTGCTGCAATGGGAGTTCTGAGGCAGCAAACCATATGCCAGGAGGGTCAACCCCATCAGGGGCTAGAATTTGTTTCCACTGGGGTGGAATCGCGTTCAAGATCGCCTGTTTTCGAACCACCAAATGCCTCACCTAACCCAATTCTCGTCTTAAATCTTCGTCTGTTTTCCATGTACCAAGAATCGGATCTCACAGATCCCTTATACGCAATACTCCTCTTTCAATCCAAGAGCGTCCGAAACTCACTCTGGAGGAGTCAGCTCTAAACCAGTCTCCTGTTTGATCTCGAATTTTGAGATTTTCGAAGATGGGTTGGGCCATAACTTCTGCTTTTGTGCAGGGTTCTGTCCAGACGTTGGGCCTAAGTTTCTTCTAGGCATGAATGATCGTGGCCCACAGTGGGGATTTGATATGCCGTCTCTGATAAGAGTACAATTGCAAACAAATCCAAACATCCTTTGGCCTTTTCATACTCCATTCATTACTTTAGAATCGTTTCTGCCAGGCATACCCAGTGGGGAGGTGGAGAGGCGAGACTAACTTTAATAACCCAGTTGCAGAGCATTGCTGTGATTTGTCTCTGCGGATCTAACATACCCAACCCTCCCTCATTACGAGGGAAACAGAGCATCTTCCAGGCGACCTTTGAAATAAAGGATTCCCCATCCATATTAATTTTGTTGCTCTCCGTTTGATGAGGGAGTAGGAAGTATCGCTTAAGCCCCGGGCTCGCCCAACATACCATAACAAGGCAAACATGGCAGTATTCACTGCCAAGGCCCGCCCAAACAGTGAAAGATGAGGAACTCTTCCCCAAGATCCAAGTCGAAGAAGCACCCTCTGAGTGAGAATGCTCTCTTGCATCTCTGTACAATGTTTTAGTGCTACTTGGATTCCTAAGAAGCGTTCAGATTCGTCATCTTTAATGCGCTTCATGCCCCATTCCACACATAGTCAAAATTCGTTAGGGAGAAAAAAAAACGACTTATGCCAATTCAGGGCTGCTTCAGACAGCTCTGAGTACTCATCCAAGCAAGCTTTGAGTGCTCCTAAAGAGACCGGAGTGTTATGGGAGACGACAAATAAGTCGTCCGCTAACGCTTTTGCCTTATATGGAGAAGGGCCCGCCTGCAGCCCTATAAATTTGGGAGTGAGCCCTGATGTTGTTCAGGGCCCCTTCCATTTGAATGGCAAAGAGCAAGGGGGCCAATGGGCACCCTTGTCTCAATGAGCGTGTCAAGGAGAATTCGCCTGCCATTAACCATCACTGCTGATGTGGAAACTGTGTACAACATTTTAGTCCAAGTACAAAAATTTGGTCCGAAGCCCATCCATTTCAACGTGGTGAGGATGTACGACCAGTTTACCCGGTCGTACGCCTTCTCCAGATCAAGCAGGAGGACTGCAATATCCAAATGTTCATTCTGTACGACCTCCAGAGTCTCGACAGCTGTTATGATGTTATCAAAAATTGAGCACCCCTTAATAAATGCGGCCTGATCTGAGTGCACCAACGTGGGCATGTAGTGCGCCAGGCGTCTGGCCAGCACTTTTGCCAGAATCTTATATGAGACATTCAATATTGAAATGGGGCGCCAGTTTCGAATTTCCGATCTGTCAGCTTTTTTGAAGAGAACAGAAATGATGCCTCTGCACATCCCCTCTGAGAGTCTACCTCCTGTTAGAACTTCATTGTAAATCTCCTTGAGACAGCCACCAATTTCAGGCCATATGGTAGTATAAAGTTCTGCAGGGAGGCCGTCATCCCCTGGGGCTTTTCCAGCGGGCATGGCTTTCAAGGCCTCGAAAGCTTCTATTTCAGACACTGGCCTATCAAGATTCTATTTTGGCGAAATTCCCGTTCTTTTTTTTTTTTTTTTTTTTTTTTTTTTTTCCAAAGCTGCCTTCTCCTCATCGGGGGACAGCCATATATTTTTCTCTCACCTCACATATCTTTCTTTTCACTACCTACCACTACTCCTAAGGCTATACAGGGGACCCCTTACCTCTCTCGGTCGTTGGAGAGGGGTAAGGGCATGTTTGCCCCTTGCCCTAGCGTTTTAGGGTGCAGGGTTGGGGCCGCCGGTGGGGGCCCGGCTAACACAAGGACCGAGCATTTTGCCGGTAACTGTGCCTCCCTATTCATCTTCCCCCACCCCCATCGAGTAACAGTAGTGTCTAGAGCCGACACTCTCCCACACACCACACTCAACCCGTTCTGACTTTTTTTTTTTTTTCTGGAAACGGCTCCACACGTGCTCACAGAGGCACACACGGCAAAGGGCCTCCCCACTCCACTCTCGAAATGTGAAAAAGACAAAAATGTGCCGGGTGCATTTGGTCCTGTTCTAGCGGGAAGTTCATTCTCATTTTGCACATTTCGAGCGTGGTGTGGCGATGCCCATACTCACACTACCGGCAGGACTTCTTCGACTGAGCTCTACGTAGACGCGTTTGAGGTCAGATGCAAACGTCGGATGCATCGAGCTGGGGCCGTAATTGCGGTCAGACAGGTACATTCTGAAGAGTCCTAGTGTGATGAGTATGCCCACAGTGAAAGCGAACGTACACAAAACACACATGCACACGATACCATCACTCTGTCACACACACACAAACAACACGAAAGAGAGTCGTTGACTTCTCTCGTTGTGTCTTCCCTTGAAAGAGTAAGGTAGATGTGGATTTGATTATTATCATGTAATAAATGGATGGATATCATCGAGAGATTAACCCCCGCTTTTACGGTGGGTATCTTTCCCACACCTGGAACAATCGCGTGTCATTAGGCGGCGGCGACGGATCATCGCCGTTAGATTAGTGAAATCGTTATCGTCCCTCACACCGATATTGAGCAGCAACACTTCCCGGCGCCCACTCACACCGATCTATGCAAGTCGATCGCGCTCGCGATCGCGTTGCAGAGGATGCGATCGCGATCGACTTGCTCAGCTTTCCTCTACTATCCATTCTTTGCGTCGGAAGGGCTCTATTAATCATCCCTACTCTCTCCTATCCTTTGCATGTGAGTGGGTCTATTACTCTCTATTACTAGTAATCATCCCTGCTCATCCTTACTCTCTCCTATCCTTCATATGTGAGCGTCTCTAATAATCATCCTTACTCTCTCATTTCCTCGTCTCTATTTCAGCTTCCATCTCTCTCTCTCTCTCTCTCTCTCGCTCTCTCGCTCGCTCGCTCGCTCGCGCGCTCTGTGGTGCCTTGATCGTACCATTGGCTATTTTGATCTACAAAAAAAAAAGTGTGGAAAAAAAAGAGAGTAGTAATTTTGTGGTCCCAGAATTGTTTGGTTCGAGAATGGCCCAGATTTCAGACACTGAGCAGGGGAGAACTGGACATGATCTGCGATCGGACGGTCATCGTAGCTCAGGCTCTCAGAGGTCCTCCGTTCAGATCATCGGCTCTGCTCCTCGGGTACTCGTCGTACACCTCTAGCGCTCTTCCTTGTTTTCCTTCTTCTCCTCCACCTGTTTGTCTCCTTGCTTGTTCGGTCCTTTGGTTGGTTTGTCGTGTTTGTTGGGTCCTTTTCTGTCTGTTGTCTTTTGACTCTATTCAGGCTTTTTGTCCTTTCTGTCCTTCGTCTTTTGCTACACTGGCTCATATCCTGTTGCCTCACCGGACTACCACCTCTTTCCTCTCCCATGTTCTCTCAAACACCGCCACTCCTCTTCCTGGCTGCTCCCAAAGGCAGTCGCTGTTGTTACCCACTGCAAGGACGAGATAGGAGAGAGAGAGAGAGAGAGAGAGAGAGAGAGAGAGAGAGAGAGAGAGAGAGAGAGAGAGAGCGTCTGTATGGTGACGAGGAGGGGGGGAAGCAGGAATAGGACAGGTGGGAGAGAGATTTTATATTTGAATGAGTGGAAGGATGATGAGGAGGAAGAGGAAAAGAACAAGTAGGAGGAGCAAAGAGCAGCGGGACGGAGAGTAACAGGTGGGAGCCAGAAGAATGATTACGAGTAGTGAAAATGAGAGGACACAAGGAGACGACAAGTAGGGAAAAGGGTAGAGGGAGAAGGAGGAGGAGGAGGAGGAGGAGGAGGAGGATGGAGAAGGGGAGGGGGAGAAGCAAGAGGAGGAGGAGGGAGGAGGCAGGGGTAAGCGGAGGGGAAGGAGGAGGAAGACGAGGAGGAGAGGAGGGAGCAGGCAGGGGGTAAATGAGGAGAGGTGAAGGAGGCGAAAGAGGAGGGGAAAGAGGAGGAAGAGAAGGTGGAGGAGGAGGAGGAGGGAGGAGGCAGGGGAGAATGAGGAGAAGAAAGGGAGAAGGATAAGGACGACGCCAAGGAGGAAAGAGGCCGGCGAGGAAGCAGACGATGATGGATAGGATGATTAAGGGGAAGAAGAACCGGAGTGCATGGAATAGGATAGGATGCAACATGAAAAATCTGAAATAGGGCATACTCACACTAGCCCTTTGCTAAATGTATCTGACTGGAATTACGGCCAGACCTCGACCAACCTGACCGCAATCACGTCCAGAGCTCATAAGCAAAAAAAAACTCCATACTGCGAGTATGCCCATGGAATGGTAAATGAGCAGGAACTGTGGGACGAGGAAAGCGAAGATGAGGAAGACGAGGAAGATGGTACGTGCGAAGGGCGCGCGGGTGGAGACACAGGCGAGATGGGATTGAGAGAGAAGGGGAGGAGTAAGAGGGAAGGGAGGGGGGAGGAGGAAGAGGGAGGGGAAGGGGGAGGAGGAAGAGGGAGGGAGGGGGGAGGAGGAAGAGGAGGAGCAGGACAATGAGGACGGGGAACAGTAGTGGAGGGCTAGGGCGGGGATAAGAAAGAGATCAGAGGGAGTAGGATTGGAGTGAGCCTGTGGGGGCGTAGGATTGAGGTGATAATCTATGTGTCACTACCTAGGCGAGAGTAGTTTGATGAGGTAGGGTAAAAGCCGAAAGATATATTAGATTAAATTAGATTAGATAGCGGACAGATAGATAGAGAGATAGAGAGATAGATAGATAGGTAGATAGATAGATAGATAGATAGATGGGTAGATAGACAAAATTAGATTACCTAGCAGAAAGTTAGGTAGATAGGTAGGTATCTAGCTAGATAGATTAGATCATAGATAGATAGGTAGCTAGCTAGATAGATAGACAGATATATTAGATCAGATAGAGCAGTCTTAATTGAATCAGATAGATTGGATCAGAAAGAGCGGCCTTGATTGGATCAGATGGGTAGATTGATAGATAGGTAGATTAGATCAGATAGATAGATAAGATAACATTGGTTTTGATAGATTACATTAGATTTATAGATAGATAGATACATAGGTAGGTAGATAGATAGATAGATGGATAGATAGATAGATAGATAGATCGATAGATTAGATCAGATAGGTAGATAAGATTACATTCGATTAGGTAGATAGATTAAATTAGATATAGACAGATAGATAGATAGATAGATAGATAGATAGATAGATAGATAGATAGATAGATAGATTAGATAGATTGGCAGTCTACGGGATGTATGAGGTTTTCACGTTAAACCACCAGTACACATCCGAAAAAGCAGATTGCGCCTCTCTTAAAAATCTGGAGGCCATGGACCGTCAATAAAAATGCATCGGCGGTTCATGGCCTCCTATTTTTCAGGAGAGGCTCAATCTCCTTTTTCAGATGTACTGGTGGTGGTTGAAAAGTACAACCGTGTTCCCCTCGAATAGAACGTACGGTCATTAAGCCTGTATTTGAGGCAACTTTTCGTTTCGATATATCGATAACGACCGCTCGACGTTCTATTCGGGTAGAGGGAAGATGGTTACCTCCGGCTATAGTAGTACCACAGCTGACATCAGGGTTTATTATAACCCCTCCCCCTCTCCCCCTCTCCCCCTCTCCCCCAAAAACGGAAAACGGAAACTTAACGGAGCCGGTCTATAGGAATGGGAATTTTCCGGCTCCGTTAAGGCTCCGTTAAGTTTGTCCTTTCTATTTTTTTCCCTGAAGAAGAATTCGCCATTTTGTAGTTTTTTTTTTTCGGGGAAAAAAATAGGAATGACAAACTAATGACCCTTGTGTAAGCTCAGGTTTAGGGTTGGGTTTTTAGGGCTTACACTATAGCTCTCATGGGGGGGTCGTCGTTAGTTTACTAACCTACCTTCTTCCCCCGAGTACAACGTACGGTCATTATAGCTGTATTTGAGGCATCTTTCTGTCTAGATACAGCTGTAATGACCGTACTTTGTATTCGGGGGAAGAAGGTAGCTTAGGGTCGGGTTTAGGGTTTTATACGGCGTTGCTCTGCATGCAATAGGGTTCTAAGCCCTAGTTTTCTTCTCTTTTTTTCTAGTGGGAAAAATATATATCCAGTGTGGGTATGCTCTCAGTTACGCTTCCAGGTAAAAAGGACTTGGCGAACACAACTGAAACAAAGGAGGGGGGGAAGGGGGGGAGGCACAAAAAAAAGGGAGGGGGGGAGGGGGGGGAGAGGGAGGAAGGGGGGGGGGGGAAAGGCACATTTCTTTCGTGTTGGAAGCCATGAGTCTCTGAAATCTAGGGTCGGGGGAAATTTTTTTAAAAAGAGAAAAAAAAAAAAAGGAAAAATAAATAAATAAATAAAAAAAATTAAAATTTATATTTTATTCTAATTTTGGTGAAGAATTTCGATGTGACCCTGAGGCAAAAGTTGTTCAGTTTATTTTTCTGCATGACATAGTTTTTTTTCGAATTTTTTGGAATTTTTTTTTTTTTTTTTTTTGGATGGTACCTCCCCTGGTCCTTGCACGGGCTGGCCACCCGGGACCCGGGCGGCCCGGCTGGTAGCCTAGAAAAAAAGAAAAAAAGAAAAAAAGAAAAAAAAGAAAAAAAGAAAAAAAGAAAAAAAAAGAAAAAAAAGGAAAATCGAGAGAGAGGTTCGGGAAAATAGGTGGGGGGCATGGGAAAAAAAAAAAAAAAGATTAATCAGAATCACCTAAATGCTTCGGCACGTCTGTTCTGACGGAAGTGTTATCCATGGTCTGGCGTAATGCACCTAGACGGATGCACATCGAGGTACAGATTGTGCATCTGGTTAGTTTGGAGGGGCAGGTACATTCTGACAGAGGCATGGGGGCAACTAAAGCCAGACTCTGGAGGAATTGGAGACAAAAAAATAAAAATAAAAATAAAAATTTGTAGAGAGTCAAGGCCTCGCCGCACCATACACCAAATCGGCAAAATGTGAATGTATCTCCCGCCAGAACGTGGAAAGATACACCCACCATTTTTTTTTGTCTTTTTCACGTTTGGTGAGTGGTGGTGCAGCGAGGTCCTCGGTCAGTGCGATCTACACGATTCTGCAGTCTTAAATGGCAGACTTCACAGCAGTAGAAAACGAAGCCGGAACTAGGGCCAGATTCAGAGCATGATACTCGCCCACGAAGTCTTGCCTGGATGTCTCGGGCCGCAATTACGTTCATTACTGGATGTATCTGAAGTCAATTACGTCCAGAGACCGGTAGGAAATTTTGCTTGCATGAAAATGACCTTTAAAGGCTTAAACCCCGATCGATAGCCTTGCTGATGTTTTTGTGGGGTTGATTTGCATTTAGCGGGCTGATATTTGATTTGATTTGATTTGATTTGATTTGATTTGATTGGCTCGTTTGTCTTCTTGCAGTGGGTGCCTTGTATTAAGAAGGATGGGGAGAGGGAGAGAGAGACTTCTGATAAGAGCAGTGCTCTCCGATCCCAGCCACCTGAACTGCTCATCATAGCGGCATCTAAAAATAGCTGCTTGCTCATGAATCAAATTCCGGATAAGAGACTGATCGGATCCATGGTTTTACCGAAGCAGGAGGCCACAGTAAGTTCTCCTCTGTCAATCTTCGCGACTTCTGCCTCACGCTCTCCCTTTTTCTAAATATAATAATGTTGCATGGGGATTCAATCATATTGTGGAAATAAAAAAAAAACGACCATCCATCGAGAAGGTCCGTCCATCTATATCTATCCATCTATCTGTCTATTCTGATCGAATCTAATCTACAAAATATGTATAATCTAATCTATCTACCTATCTAATCGTATCTAGTCTAAATCAATCCAATCCAATCTACTCTAATCTATCCTAGTCTACGTAATCTATATAATCTGTACTATGTATCTATGTATCTATGTGACTATCTATGTATCTATGTATCTATGTATCCATCTCTGTATCTCTGTATCTATGTATCTATGTATCTATGTATCTCTGTCTGTCTGTCTGTCTGTCTGTCTCTGTCTGTCTGTCTGTATGTATCTAATCTATGTATCTGTATCTATCTATTCCATATATCTGTACAGCTATATATGGATATGAAGGAAAAGAAGAGGCGAAAACAGGATAGTAGGTCCAATACAATCAGGATGTAAAAGCTTAGACCCTTGTGTACTCATTTCTTCATTCTGCCACCTAATATGCAGTGTGGAGGGGAAGAGAAAGATGGTGATAAACAACAATCAGTGAACAAGGTGGTAAAAAACGACAGAAAACGTAGAAGAGGGCATAAGGATTAGACCATTGTACCTTTTTTTTTCATGCTGAAACAAGGTAGAAGAGGGTATATATAAAGATTAGAGCTTGAGAGGAACGATACACTGGAGGATCCATTTTTGGTTATCAGGGTAGAGCCCCCACCCCCCCTGGCGCAACTAACACTCCTCAGACATACTAGCTTTAGCTCCTTCCTCCTCCTTCTCCCCCTCCTCCTTCTGCTCCTCCTCTTCCTCCTCGTTCTTTGTCTTTTCTTCTTCTTCTTCTTCTTCTTCTTCTTCTTCTTCTTTGCTTCTTCTTCTTCTTCTTCTTCTTCTTCTTCTTCTTCTTCTTTGCTTCTTCTTCTCCCCCTCCTCCTCCGCCTGCTGCTCCTCCTCTTCCTCCTCGTTCTTTGTCTTCTTCTTCTTCTTCTTCTTCTCTTCTCGTCTCTTCTTCTTCTTCTTCTTCTTCTTCTTCTTCTTTGCTGCTTCTCCTACTTGTTCTTCTTCGGTGGTGTCGCCCTCAGTGTCATCACCATTGGGAGCAAATCTCCAAGTACCTACCCCCTACCGTCTCAGCCTTCTTTTCTCTCTTTTTTTGTGTCCAGGTACAGTGGTCTGGTCGTACTTCAAAATTTCAGTCAAAGTTTTCCGGAAGCAATGGGATGCGGAGTGTGTGGAGAGGAAGTGGGTGGGTGGTAAGAGGGGAGATGGAGTTGAGTTGGCACACTTTGCTGTTTCTGGAGGTAGGGGGGAAGGAGATAGAGATTGAGTCCGGGAAGTGGGCGATGGGGAAGTCAAAGAAAATAATATATGGATGGCCAAAGCGCTACCAGCTTCATGTGAAAACAATGCCTGTCCCGAAAAAAAAAAACGAAAAAAAAAAACAAAAAAAAAACAATGCCTGCTCATTATAGCTGTGTTGACTGCAGCTTTTCAGTCTAGATACAGCGATAATGACCGGGCGCTCTGTCGGGGTGAAGAGGGTAGCTATGGCAGCAGTGCAGTGCTGTTGATGGCCAGAGCTTGCCAAAGTGCAGGCTATGGCGGCGGGATTGTCAATAGCTACAGCGCTGACTATGGGGCGATAGACAGCACCCCCTGCTGCATTGATTGTACACTACCGTCTTCATGCATATAGAATGCCCGGTCATTACTCTGTATTTGGGGCAACTTTCAGTCAAGATACAGATATAAAATACAGATATAAAATGGAACAGCATGTAGGAAGGAGAGCTTAATCAGAGGTGTGTACGAACTGACTGTTATTTGTAATGTCTGCAGGTCGGCATTTCAGGGCCTGAGAGGAGAAGCGAAAAGACGTGCCCAACATTTGAGCTCGAAAAGCTCAGGGAGCAGGGAGAGAAGGGAGGTGGTGATGTCATTGCTGTATGTGCAGAGGATGTGCCAGCTAATCAGACGGTTGCCTGGACAAAGGCTCTCTTCCAAATCTTCAAACCGCAAAGGTGAGGGCGGGAGTAATTACTAATTACGGAGGGTTCAGGGGGTGCAACGGGTGGTGGTGGGGAGGGAGAATTACAGAGGGTGTAGAAGGTTGCAAGGGGGGTGATCAGTAATTACAGAGGGTTCTAGAAAAACAAGGAGTGAACTCTGCGAAGGGAGAAGTACATGGGAGGCGGTAGGGGGGGCTGTGCAGGGGGTTGTCAAGCATCAGCTGTCTGCTCAGGCAGGACATGGAGAGTGATGAAATTGACAATTGTTGACTTTTGAAGAATTATTCACCATTTCAGGGTTGCATACGTGCCGACTGCCGACCGTTTTGCAGCCGACCAGTCTAGGGGCGACCGGTTGGCGGTCTGCCGACCAGTCAGAAAACAGCCATCCGCTGATTTTTTTTCAAATTTGAGTTGGAGGCTGTACTGTGGTTGCTGAGTACAGCCCAAATCCGCTGAGAAACTTTTGGGGATTGGGGGGGGATATAGGGGGGTATTGGGGTGGTATAAGAGGTATTTGGGGGGGG